AATAAAAGTTTGCCAGAAACATTTTCCACCTATAAGGAATCAATTTAAAGCAAATCCACACTGACAGAAAATGAATGGTTGGTTTGACATACAGCTTATTCTCCTTCACTAGGACTTATTAGTCATTCTGTATTTAGCTATGAATCTTCTTGAAAAACCACGTTCATCTTGTCATTCTGCTGCTCAAGATCTGCAAAGCTTCTCTGCTGTCCAACTTAAAATCCCTCTGCCTGGCTTTCAAGGGTGTTCATCACCTGGCCCAACCTATCTTCCTAAGTATAGTTCCTACTACTCCCAACATGACTTCTCCCTTCACAGCCCCCATGACTTGCTCATTGTCATTCACTTCATCCAAAGTACTTTCCTTTACCCCTAATCCATCCTCCCAAATCCCACTTACCACACAAAGTTTCTTTCTACTCTTCCTACCTATAACGGAATTACCTTCTCTGGATTACTATTATAGTTAAAGTCAGTCTGTATTATAGCTTTTAATTTGAAACTTCTTAAAGCATTTTGAGAAATCTTTGCTGTAGCAACAGTTTTGCCCCTTGATATACAGAAAAATTAAACCCACATATATGACATACTGCGATGGTTATACTTGGGGTTATGCAGTTTCCAGCCATAATAGTTACAATTCCACTAATTTCTCCCTCACTAAAGAAAGCATAAGAAGCAGCAAATGAAAATATTATACTTCAATAAAAGACAAATAAAAAAAATACCTACTGAGTGAGAATGAGAGGGATGTTATTATAAATGTAACCTTGAATATTTCAACTTACTTTTTTCAAAAAAGAAAGCATTTCCAAGCATTGGAAACGTACATCTTACAAATTATCATTCATACTACACTCTAAGAACTTATTCTATATAGCACTTAGGATGCTAGATACAGAAGAGTGTCTAGCCCAATAATCAATCAGCTATACATAAATATTACTGCAGCAACTGCCTGGTGATGACTGACAAAGGTGATGCAAAAAATATAAACATGGATTACAGAAGATGACTCCTGCTGACATTCCCTAAAAGAACAAATGACTTCTTGTGGAGTTTGCCTAAACCTATTTTAACATAGCTGTTGCACTCCTGAGGCTTATGAAGAGGATGGCAGTTTGTAAGGCAGTCATGCAATCATATACCTCTTATGCAACAGTGTGTCTACAATGCAATCTTGGGTAAAATTAGCAAATTGTACGTTGTTTCTATCTGACAGGACAGTTAAGGGTCAGATAACTTAGCTCTACCCAAGAGAAAGTCTTCCTGTGATAATGCAAATCTTGCTCTATATTAAAAAGGGTCTCGGGCCTCCCTGGTGGCGCAGCGGTTGAGCGCTGGGTTGCGAAGCTGCCCGCGGCCTCTGCGGCGCCGGTTCGATCCCCGGCTGCTCCCCGGCCACCGGAGGAGGATCCCACATGGTGCGCAGACCTCTCCTGCCGCCCCGCTGCTCCCCTCAGCAGTGTACTTTGGTCCTTCTGCTTGCTCTGCTCCCCGCTCTGGTGAATTCTCTCACCCTCCCGCGCTTCTGACTGTACCCAGTGCATGTATAAACAAAACAAACAAATATAATAAATAAACATGCCTCTATTTAAAAAAAAAAAAATAAAAAGGGTCTCACTTTCACAATAAGGAATTACCTGGATATTAGAAGTCCCTTATAGACAGTTACAACTCAAATATATAATCTTTAACTTATGTTAAACCCATTCTTTTAATTGCCAATTGCACAAATAGACCATGACTTGATTCTGAGATCTCCCCAAATCCTGAAAATGTCACATTCTTCCCTGAAAAATCTTTAGATATATATCAGATTGCTTAGTTATAAATCTATCTGCAGGCCAAGAGCCTTCTCTTCATCCTAGTACTGACAATCTAACATTCTACAAATATTGATCTAAAAATAAAAATGCTTAAATACATTTTATTCTTTAGTATTGTCTAAGTAGACACTATTTAGAAATCCTTGTAAAAGTAGATGACAAAAGAATTCTTCAGTTTACCATGTCCTGGAAACTTCCAAACATCAACCAAACAGCCCAAAAGAATGTCCTACTCAATAGTTCCAAGGATGTCATTAATTGCTTCCATCTGTTTCCCTTTATGTTCTCTCCTGCTTCAAGTCAAGGCATCTATTAAAGTTACGTTTTGCTTCATTTTATATTCTAAAGAAAAACATACAGAGCCCTCATGCCTTAACTTGCAGAACAACTTATTTGCCCCCAAATCTGCTGAAAACCACAGCCATATTGTCTTTGTATGCTAAGCTATTTTAAGTAACATTTCAGAGTATATCATTTTAAATTACATATTTTTTAAACATTGCTGAGTACATTTTCTCAGTTGATCATAAGACGTTTCCCCTGATTCCTGATGAAGATCAAGCATTTTCCCTATTTTATGGTAAAGTTTAAAATTTCTGAATGGTTTCACCCATTGATGATCCTTACCTAAATCGACTGTTTCATTAAGAGTTGTACAGTGACAAGTTTCTAGTTCTTTCATTAATTCCACATTTGTTTAGAATTCCCTTCAACAACTAAGGCTAGTAGGTTTAGTTTCTTAGTAACTTTCACATACACAAGAAGTATACGAAACTTTCAAATATATAGTTAACACTATTGTTAACTGATTAATCATACAATACAGAACATCTTATAACTGGATGTTTTTCTTTCACCTCTACCCATTTGCCCATCCCAACATCTACCTCTGGTACCACCTATCCTCTGTATCGATTCAGTTTTTTGTGTTTTTTTAAAGATTCCACATTTAAATGAGCTCACAAAGCATTTATGATTCTCTGTCTGACTTAATTCACTTAGCATAATGCCCTCAAGATCCATTCATACTGCTGCAAGTGACATGATTTCCTTCTGTTTTATGGCTGAATAATATTCCATTACATGCATGTCTATAGAGTCACACACCCCAAAACAATTCAGTCAACAACACTCTTTTATTCTGGCTGCCATCACGCCATCCAGACTGAGGAAGATCTGGAAACTTTGGGGTCACTTCAGGACCACATGAGCCACAGCCATGGCCTCATTGGCAAACACCAGAAGCACCCAGGAAGCCGATAATGCTGGTGGCATGCATCACCACAGGATCAACTTTGACAAATATCACCCAAGTTACTTGGGGAAAGTTGGTGTGAAGTATTATCACTTAAAGAAGAATCTGCCCACTGTCAATCTTGATAAACTGTGGACTGTGGAGAGTGAACAGACTCAGGTAAATGCTGCCAAAAAAAAAAAGACTGGAGCTGCTGTATCATTAATGTGGTGTGACTGGGCTACTACAAAGTTCTGGGGAAAGGAAAGCTCCATGCCCAGAAGACCAAACTAAGGATTAAGACCACAAAAACAGTCCCTGCAAAAAAACAGATGATTCTATACCTTGTTCCCCTAACACAAGAACATTTTGTAGAATAGAAACATAGTTTATAGAAGCACCCCCTCAAGAAGATAGAAATAAGAAGACATCAAATGGTGGAAATTTTGCCTCTCTTCAATGAAAATTAGACTATAAGGAGGATTAAAATACAGGACACTTCTTGCTTTATTTAAAATGGTGATATAGAACATTAACACAGAAAATTGCCCAAACTTACAACATAATGAATAATTACAAAATAACAACCCATGTAACTCAATACTTATATCAAAAAAATAGAACATATCAGCACTTTGGAAGCTTTACATGCCTCTCCCTGAGACAATGATCTTCCTTTCTCCCACAGGTACCACTTACTTCCTTATCTACCTTCATCTTTCTGCTATAAAAATGGGCATTCCTAAACAATATCATTTATTTCTACATGCTTATGAACTTTAAATAAATGGAATCTCTAAATCTATCATTCAATTCCCTCGATTATGTCAAAAATTCTTTTTTTTTAATTGACATGAAATTCACATGACACAAAATGAAACATCTTACTGTGAAAAACTGTCATCCCTTTATATTACTGACTGACTTTACCATAATTGTTGTTATCTATTCCACTTTAGATAGAACAGTGGAGTCAACATGCACAATGCTGATAACAATATTTTTGTATATGGATCCTATATACATAGGCATAAATTTCGCTCGGGAACACACCTGGGAATGGGATCACCTATCTTCTGCTTGCCTAATAGCAAACTGTTTTTGCAAAGTGGTTCTATCAAAGTGTATGACAGTTCCAATTGTTCTTCATCTGCATTAACAATGGATGCTATCAGATTTCTTAATTGAGGGGTTTATATTAAAATAATTTGCACTTCTCTGATGAGAAAGGTATCTTTCATAGGTTTATTGGCCATTTAAATATCCTTTTGGTTGAAGGGCTAAATCAAATCTTTGCCAGTTTTCTTTTTTTTAACTGAATAGACTTATTTTTCCTGAGATGTATAGACAGTAACTTTTTTACTGTCTTCTGCCTCAGTCTTTACTTTTACTTAGGGCTAGACTGACATATAGAACAAAGCTATTAATGAAAGATAATGTAATCAAGAACCTTAGGTGCTTTCACTAATTAAATGTTATTATCTCTGCTTGCTTTTATGCAGGAAGGCCAAAGTGCCTAGACATTATTTTTAGGAGTATTAGGCAATATGTAAATAAAACAAATTTAAAATGCTACTTAAATGTTATTTTTTTTTTAATTCAAATCTACTGTTATCCCCTTATGTTCAAACAAAAGTATTTGGTATATACAATTCAGATTCACATACACTAAGGTCAGAATGTGTTTCTGAAAGCTTCTTATTCTGAAAAATAAAAATTCAAAGTCATGATTTCATTAAAAATTATTATGCCAAAAATGCCTAATAGCAATGAATAAAATGAACAGTAGGAAACACGAGTGTTGAAATATGAACAGCTGAAATTTCAAATCAGGTTTTACATTTGAAAAAAATAAGCTGCTCCTGCAATCAGTTACTTTTCTTTCCTAACAAGAGTACAATTATGCTTAACAATAGTGAAATGCTTTAATTACTCACTTAATAAATGCTGGTGGCATATCTCTCTTCAAGATCTGATCCTCAGTGGTTTGAACAGTCTCTTTACCAACCTATGGGGAGGGGAAAAAGTCACAATTCAAATACAGACTCTCAGACTATTAGAAAGTATTCTTAAGCATATTTGAAACATATACTTTCCAAAATATAAATTTCAGAGTAATTAAACATAAGGAATCAAACTTCTATTCATGACTGAGAATATATGTATATGCGTTTTTAAGTAACAAACTACTATGTATCCAAAAGAGTCCAAGAACTGAATCAAATTAGGTAGGATAAAATGTGTAAATGAAAAAAAAAATAGATTTTATTGGATCTGGGTAAAATGTATTTGAAACAATTATGACTCAGAAACTAGAAGTCAAACATAAATACAACTACACTAGTAAGTAATCAAATAGATTCACATTAAAACATGATTTCCCCCCCTAATTATGAAGCAACCTAAAAAGAAATAATACATAATTCTGAACACTACAACAGAATAATTTTATTCCATTCTGGTGTCAGTGTAAACTGGTATACTCTTTGAAAATCATTTGCTGGTGTGTGCTCAAAAATATATCTAGGAATTTCACGTATGAAAATATACCAATAAGCAATAATACCAAATGCGGTAATAACAAGATTCACAAAAATACGCTGCATCGTGAGCATTTATAAAAGCAGAAAAAATTTAAAATAACATGCAGCAATGAGGAACAATTTAATAAATTAAGAGATACCTTTAGATTGAGTACTATGGTGCTGTTAAAACAACAGTTATAGAAATTCAGAACTATGGAGAAATGTATCACAGCACATTTTATTTGATGGAGGAATAAAATAATAATAAACACACTATTCTATGATTACAACAAACAAAAAAATTTATGTGTATAAGACAAAACTGAAAGACAAAATGTTAACAGCTGTTATATTAATGCTTGCAAAATTTGGGGTTTGTATTTTCTGATGTGAGAATATACAATATTTATAATTTTAAAAGCAATATTAAAAAATTACTTTGGGTTATTTAGGTACAATTATTTCCTACCTACAATTTTAGTAACTATTTTTCATTTTATATGTCTTCCAAATAGTAATGGTGAAAAGTTTTAGTCACACTGAAGCATGGTGACATGAGGTAAGTAGCGTGGGGGTCTTGAGCGATCACCTTTTGCTCAGTTCCTGGTATGCAACTTAGTTCCTGTTAGGAATCTTGTCAGATGATAATCATTCAGCACGATGGACCTGGGTGGGGAGGGGGCAACGAGTACTGACCCTTTACTCACTCACTCCTTGGTATGTAACCATACACCTGACTTCTTGGTATGTAGCCACATCATATCTGACCATGTACAGTTGCCAATACAAACCCACCCAGAACCTTGTAGAAACTAAAAGTGTATATAAGCACCTGATTTCCTGCAAATGGGGTTCAGTCTTTGTATGCAAATTTGCTGAGTCAGCACCAGTGCAACAAAACTGCTTCTTGTTAGCCCTGGTGTCCAAGTTTCCTTCCTGCCATATAACAACATTAACCAGCTTGTGTATGTTTTATACCATAAATGATACATATACTCACTTTCTTCAAAACCATCCTTATGAAGAACTTTGATTTCAATTTTTCTTTCATTACATCACATAGTACAGAAACACTATAATATAGGGCCTCCCCTGGTGGCGCAGCGGTTGAGCACAGCCTCTGTGGCACCGCTTCGATCCCCAGCCACCGGCGAGGGTCCCACATGGCGCGACAGACCTCTCCTGCCACGCCTGCTGCTCCCCCTCAGCAGTGTACTTCGGTCCTTCTGCCTGTTCTGCTCCCCACTCTGGCTCTGGTGAATTCTCTCACCCTTCCGGGCTTCTGACTGTACCTAGTGCTTGTATGAATAAATAAATAAATCTTCTAAAAAAATAATTAAAAAAATAAAAAAGTAAAAGAAATACTATAATATAGTGATATATTAAAGTAAGCTTTAATATAAAGTAAGCTTTAATATAGTGATGGTGAAATTCACCTATTTTATTAATATAAAGTTACTATGAATATTAAGTCATATCTCTAAGCCACATTTAGTTCAGAAATGTGTGAAATTTTCAAAACTCAGAGCAGAAAGCATCTCAATCCTGCTGTTTGTTTAACTTTTGATTGAGTTTAAAGAAGAAAAACAAGGCAAAAAAAATCTCTAAATGCACAGTAAACCAGCTTAAAAAAATAATACAATAAACTATTTGCAGGAAAGACAAGTTATGCATAAATTATGAATACAAGTCTTTTCTCTCAAGTTAATAGTGCAGAAAAAAAGCAACACACATACACGACTGTATAATGGCCAGAGCTTTTTAGACAATAGACTGTCTGTATCATAATAAAAGGCTTTCAAATCAGCAGCTGGTTCCCTAGAGTTTCTCAGATCAAAACATGACAGAATATTTCCAGATGTATTGTTCACTCTATTTTCCAACTAAAATCAACCATTCAAAAAGTTGTGGGCCACGATTTCATGAAGATGAATTTCAGCAACAAAGTCACTAATTCATACTAAGTACGAAGGGCCTAGAAGGACAGTCACATTTAGACAAATGGAGATTCCTAATAGACATATATGGGAAGAGAGAGCAAAGAGAGGGAAAATACTTCAGCTATTTGGTATAACTGAACATTTATTCAGTACAATAACATGCACCAGGCACTGTTTTAGGTCCTGGGATAGAGCAGGGGGAAAAAAAATAAGTTTCCTTCTGTCCTGGAGCTTATATTCTAGTAGGAGTACAGAGTACACAAGTAACTAAATGAACAAGGTCACTCCATATAATGATAAAAGTGATGAAATAAAGAGTAATAATAAGAGGAAGCAGAAGAAGCTTACTTATAGAAACAGACAAACAAGACCTCTGAGGACATCACACTGGAATCAAGGGTAAGAAGGACCATTCATGTAAAGCTGAATGATTCAGGAGAAGCAAGTAAGATGCTCTAAGGAAAGCGTGGGTATATTCAAGGAAACTTGAGAAGGTCAGAGTGGCTGGAGCTCAGTGAAGGGGGTAAGGTGTGGTGATGTGGTTGGGATGAAGTTGTAAGGGCAAGAACACAAAGCATCTTTTTGGTCAGTTTAGGATATTTGATATCTTTTCTAGGTATAATGGGAAGAAGAAGAGATAAACAATATAATGATATGAATAGATCATCTTTTTCAAAAGTTCACTTTGTCTGCTACATGGAAAAGTGTTTGCAGGGGGCAAGAGGAAGCAGGGTGATTAGTTAGGAGGTTTCTGCAGTATTCCAGGGAAAGATGGCAATAACTTAAAACAAGATATAGGAGTGGAAATGGAGAGTTAGTTCTTTTCGAAGAACTACCAGGACTTATTGTTGGATTGTGTAGGGCGGGAGATGGGTAGTAAACTGAAGCAAAGAAAAATGCAAATAAAAAATGACTTCTATATCAATTAAGTGAAATGTCTTCAAAGACCTCAATGCTGATATATGGCAACGATCTACCATCAGAAAATAAAATAATCAAGAATACACCAAGCAAAACCATTAAAGCAGTTTTGCAAATAGCAAACATTCTAACTGCAGTACAGGTAATTACTAAAAAATTATTTTTATTTAATTACTTTATGTCTCTTTTGTAAGGTAGGGAAAAGAGAAATAGTCTCTCTTTCTCTCTCTTTCTCTCTTTCTCTCTCTCTCTCTCTCTCTCTCTCTCTCTCTCTCTCTCTCTCTCTCTCTCACTACTTACTCAAAGGCTATTTTAAAGTATTTAAGTGATAGGCACTAAGTCTGATTTCATTATTCTAAGTTGCATTCATGCTTGCAATGATAGTATTCACAATTACTCAGATCTTCAATACATTCAGCCTAGAATCAGGTATAATGAAATGGTCCTGTTTTTAAGGCACGATACAAACATTATATAGAATGAATGCCATTTTTACTTGAGGAACTGACTTTTGACAATGTTTTCCAATAGACTATTATGTAATGAAAATAATCTATTTATATTCTATGTAATCTTTGCTTCCCAGTACTACAGCCATTAGCCCACGTGGTTATTAAGTACTTGAAACAAGGCTAATACAACTTCAGATTTGAATGATTACTTTTATTTGATTTAAATTTTTTATTAAGACAATTTTAGAACAGTTTTAAATTCATAGCAAAATTGAGGGGCAGACAGATTTCCCATAACTTTCTGCCCCACCCCCACATACTACAGCCTCCCTCATTATAAACATCCCCCACCAGAATGGTACATTTGTTACAAATGATAAACCTACAAGAGCACACCATTATCTTCCAAAGTCTATATAGTTTATATTACTATTCATTCTTGTTGTTTCACAATCTATGTGTTTGGACAAATATATAATGACATATATCCATCATTATAGTATCATACAGAGTAAAAGGCGAAAGATATATGGGATCTGAAGAGAAACCAGAGTATAATATAGTATCATACAAAGGACTGCCCTAAAAATACTGTGCTCGTCTATTCATCTCTACTCACCTGTTCATCCCACCCCACCCCCCAAGCCCCTGGCAGCCACCTATTTTTTTCTTGGATTCATAGTTTTACCTTTCCCAGAATGTCATATAGTTGGATTCAAATAGTATCTAGCCTTTTCAGATTGGTTTCCTGCAATTAATTTTAATTTAAATTGCTACATGTGGCTAGTGGCTACCATATTGGACAGGTCAGGTCTATGGGACTTTAATTGTCTCCTAAAACTGTCCTTCCTGCCTTCAGACTTTTCTAGTCTCAATCACTATTCTTATAACTGTTAGATCAATCTTCATTATTTGTCTTTACTATGTGATCTCTTCACAGCAGAAGGAACCTGGGACCTGGAGAAACAAAAGTTGCCAAGCAGAGAGAAAGAAGAATCACACAGTCCAAGTCAAAAGGGCTCAGGTTCCAAATGTTTTAGCACATGGTTAACCAGGCTGGTATGGCTTCAGCAAAGGAATCAAGTAAGGTTAGAAAATAAAGCTCAAGTCAGCCTGGGAAGGGCACTGATTGCCAAGTGAAGGCATAGAGGATTATGTAACCTAATCTGC